TACCCCAATCTGAGATGCCTTCATAGGACCTGAATTTGAAAGGACGAGTACTCAACACTTTCTAAATATCAGGCCCCTACAGAGCATCTCAGGTTGGGCACTCAAAGGATCTGGCCATTTCTGACCATTGTGACTCACAAAGGCAAAGTTTTGAAAGGGAGGCTGTAGAAAACTTGCTCCATTCTTTATCATCTATCTCCACATTAGTTCAGGCTTCCTCTTCTCTTACGGCTTGTCTAGGCAAGAAAGTAGTGGTATAGCTATACCACATTCACTTACTCTGCTATAGCCATGCTTACCAATTTATCTAGGTAGACAAGTGCTGATGTATGGTTTTAGCTGGTTAAAAATTAAACAAAAGAAAATGTTTCTTCACTCAGTGCACAGTCAACCTGTGGAACTCCTTGCCAGAGGACGATGTGAAGACTAGGACTTAAACAGTGTTCAAAAAAGAGCTAGCTAGATTCCTGGAGATTATATCCATCAATGGCTATTAGGCAGGATGGGTAGGAATGGTGTCCCCAGCTTCCGTTTCTCTAAAGGTGGGTGACAGGAGAGGGATCATGTGATGATTCCCTGTTATGTTCTCTCCCTCTTGGGCATCTGGTATTGGTCACTGTTGGCAGACAGGATACTGGGCTAGATGGACCTTTGGTCTGACCCAGTATGGCCATTCTTATGTTTTGTCCCTCTAATCCACATGGGCCTTGCCTGAGAACCCTCATGGCAACACTGTGAGTGTGATTTCCCACAAGAGGCAGAACTTCTATACACAGCTCCTGGAGCAGAAAGGGATAGCTGCTGGCCCTTACACAAGCCTATAAGAAGAATTGGTAGCACAACTGTGTGCTTCAGCCATGGCTCAATAATACTCCTCATGATCTATAATGGCTCTGCTCGCCAAGTTTAAACAAAAAAGCTATTGTTTCAATCAGGGCGTAGCCATGGGTGGGCCTGCGTGGGCCATGGACCACCCACTTTGCATTCAGGCCCACCCCCTGAGGCTCACATAGCTCCACTTCAGCACTCTGGTTGGGGAGACACTTTGCATTCAGGCCCACCCCCTGAGGCTCACACAGCTCCACTTCAGCACTCGGTCGGGGAGCGGTGTCAGGGCTTACCTCCTGTTCTGCTTCTCCCCATCCCCCATTCTTGCCCACCCCCCTGAAGTCTGGTCTCACCCAAGTAGGCCCTTCTGGCTATGCCACTGGTTTCAATATAGGTTGCATTGCACTGCAGCTAAACTAGCCTTGAATGTGGTTTGTGCATGTGGACAGGACAAAGCCATGTTAGAAGAGCACTCAGAAAAGCATTCCAGCTTCCGTGACTATTAACATGATTATGTTTACTACACTGGAGGTGCTGGGTCATTACAGTATAACTGGGAGCATCCGGCTTCGCCTACATGCATAAGACTGCAACCTGCTGTAACTACTGTACACAGCCCAACCACAGCTTTAGCTCTGTACACCCAACGGGGAACAAGCCGTGTTAGGACAGAAATGCAATGTTACTGTGTAATCACACAGTGCCTCGGTACGCAGTCTTTTGCAATGTAGATGCTCTGTAAGCCTGTGGTTTTCAACAATTTTCATTTGCGGACCCTACAAAATTTCCAATGGAAGGACCCCTTTGGAAATCTTAAGATAAAATATGCAGATATCCAAGGTCCTGTGATCTACAGATTGAAAACCACATTCCTAAATACATGGGACTTCTCTAGAGATTTTCGCAAGCACGCCTGAGAAGAGCTAATTTATCTCCTTATCAGATGAATTATCTTGCCTGTTCACCTCCCTTCCCCACCCGCTCTAGATTAGGTCAGGCATCTCTTCCCACTTTGCATCAGGCGTGACAGGTGCATCTTAAAAAAAAAAAAATCGAGGGCTTGAAAAGCAGGTTTTAAAACCGTGCAGCCATTAGGATGCAAACAGCATTTTCGTGCAATGCGTACTCCTCCCTGGCAGGACCCCAGTATTAAAAGCAATCACCACAAAGGTTTTGCACTCAGCAGTTTCAAAGCCATGAAATGCCCTGGTGTATTAGTGTGCAGCAATTTGCTAAACAGAAAGGAAGCTAGAGAACCATTTGTTTCTGTTGATTCCCCTTCTCCAGTTAATGTTGCCCTTAAACTCACAGCCCAGGATAAAAGATCTACAAAGGCTTAGACTATTTTCATCCACCTCCACTCCATCCCTCATCAGCATAAGCCATTATTTACTAGATCCCTTCCTCAATCGCCACCTTCTTCTCAATTGGTTTCAATTCCCAAAAGCAGTTCAAATACAATAGTGATGATAGGTGCCTATGAGCAGCGGTCATAAAGCAAAGACATTGGGAGACTAAATAAAATGCCGCTTTCCAAGCACTTTAGTTCATCTTTACACATCTGCTACTTCATCACATGCACCTTAGCACAGATCGCTCACCCCTTTTGGAGCCAGGTGATACCCAGCTTCACAGCAGTGGAGGATTTGGCTCAGACACCCTTACAAAAACTCAGAGGGGGGCCAAATCTAACCACTCCATAGCTGTGTACACATTAGAGCTGCATCTGTTGATAAGGCTGGGAGGAAATGAGGTGGAATCTAGCTGCATCCCACTCATACCATGAGAAGCTTCTTCAGTTTGGGGAAAGGAATGTATTTCGTCCCCAAAGGTTGTTTGGTTTTTAAATGTAGGGCTCTCCAGTTTACCGAGAGGTCATTTGGCAACAAGGGAGATGGATGACTAAGAAGTTTCATCCTAACGCCTATTGTATTTTACTATCATGAGCTGTGTGGTGTCCAAAGGTAGACTGTAAACTCTCTCCAAACATTATTGTCTGCTGGGTACCTCACAGCCTTTGTTCCGTGCTATGCAGATAAGCATTAGGGGCCATATTTTCAGGTATGCTCAGCATTTCCCTTTGTTAAGTGCTTTTGAAAAATCTGGCCACTAATGTAGATACCTAAGGCCTTGTGTAGGCTCAGATTTAAAGGCATGATGTTAGAGGAGAGGACTATAGTGATCATGCTACTGAGGCTAGCAAAGACAAAGTCATCCAAGGCAGATGCACTAGATGCAGTGAGTAAAAACCTATCAATGTTCAATAGAAGTTGTCTTGGAAAACAGTTTTGGAGTGTCCAGAGTCACTTGACAAACTTAGAGCTAACTCCAGGTCAAAATTCAAGTGTAGATCCAAGCCAGGTCACTTGAGAAAAAAAAGTCACCCCCCCCCACCAAAATAACCATGCCAGCAAAAGCCCTGGTGTAGGCAGTGACACTGACAAAATCCTATTGTAATAACATAGTACCTGTACTAACAGTGCAAAAAGGACAGCCTCTGCTCTGAAGAGCTTCCAGTCTCATTTTGCCAGTACAGCTTATTCTACATAAGAATGTAAGTGGAATAATCTATAGCTGCACTAGGAGGGCTATAGCTGTACCAGCAAACCCTTCCTGGTGTTGACAAGGCTAAGCTTTAGCGTGAGCTACTGGGTACAGAGCTTCCAAATGTGTTGAGGGGCAGGTTTGTTTTAACTGGCAGACAGCCAGGCTTTCACCTCCTATCAAACTAAGGCCAAAATAAGTCAAACGGTCACTGACAAACTCATTGCAGGAGTGAGAGTGCCTGTTACCCGGCTGAAAAAGCATCAGGTGGCCAATCAAAATCTTTAACATTGTGATCTTAAGACTTATCTGGTTTTAACACGGCTAACCCGGTTACCGTTCTGCCTGTATGTCTGAAACTTCCTCTCTGGCTACAAGTCTGCAGCTTATTTTTGACTGCAAGCTCTTCAGGACAGGGAACTGATTTTTTTTGATGGGTATGTCTGTATGTTCACACCACTAAGGACAATGGGGCTGAGATTCTTTAGCCTCTGTTGCAATACAAATAAACATGCATCATGGGCTGCACCCAGCAAGCACATCCAAACGTCCTTAACAGAAGAGAGTGCTGCAGCACCTCCTTCCTCACAACAAAACCACAAATTACAGCCCTGCAGCTCCCCTAATGCAGACTGAAGCACTGACGTCAGCTTTTAAGTACTGACCAGGAATTTATTGTGTAAAGGGATATATTAACCAATAAGGAACACACACACACAACCCAAGAATCTTTCATCTCAACACTTCCAGCCCTCGGTGCTGAATCACAGCACACACGCAGCTCATGCTCCATCCTGCCAATGCGGGGAAATAATTGTAAGGGGCAAGCTTAACTCCTTGGTCACTAGCAGCGCCCTGCGAGCAATGGCAAGGAAGCCCCCATATGCCTCTTCCCTCCAAACACTAAGGCGACACATCCTTAAGAAACCGCAGGCTCGTTCACACCAGCCTCCCAAGCGGGTGGGCCCAGGAGGGAGCACACTGGTAAGTCAGCGCCTGCAAAGCCCAGGCAAATTGGAGCCCGGCTCTTCTGTAAAACCCCACGGTATTAGACCAGCAAACCGCAAACATATGTTCTCCTCCCCCCTCCGTGCACGCGGGCGGATCATGTCATTTGATTTGCACCCTGCAGGATTTTGTGAGGCCGCCTATCAAAAGTACCGCCCTGGCATAAGCACGCAGCTCCCTGTCAGCAGCTCCCTCCATTACAATAGCACCCACCACGGGATGTTTGTGTGTGTGTGCGTGCGCGCGCACCAGGTGAGTGTTGTGCAAAAATTCACACTGTTTCGTTACCAGCTCTGGGTAACACAAGACGCACCCTTCCATCTCCCCAAATACTCCCTCCAACGCGTGCCTTCTGCTCACCAATCCACGCACCAGCGACTGCATCTTCCTGAGCCTAGCACTGCGTGTAAATACACACGCGCAGCCCATCCGTGCGGGTGTTGCATTACACAGAATTGGCGTCAGGAAGGTGCAATTCACAGCTACACAAAATACACCTCTACATCTGCATTTTCTCCCCGGCTCCGATCCCTAGGACCTACTGCAGGGTCATTCAGATACGGAGCACGATTAGAAGCCCTAAGCCACCTCTTCGTCCCTTACATTTTTAAAACACGTACCTTGCCGCACTTCCTCTGCAGCCGGGGGAATCAGCGCTCCTGAGGTGCTCCAGCTGATTGCAGAGTTCTGCACATTCGCCAGGATAATTCAACGCAATTACAGGATGATCAAATGAGAAGCACTGCCAGGCTGCTGCAAGTGCTGATGATGCAAGTCCCAGCCCCTTGCAAACACACACATGCACTCCCACTGCAATGTAGGCATAACACTAGCCCACTGAGTGTGGGGCAGGCATGGCCCTGCACGGAAGGGGCGTTGGGGGAGGATGGCACAGATAAGCATTAACCGGGCTGAAGGGATCCAGGAAGACAGAAGGTTGCACTTTAGAACTAAAAATGAACTGAGGATGAGGTCATGCCTTGAAAAAAAAGCACCTGACGTCACCCCCAGCCAATCAGAGAGGGAGGCTCAGGGGCAGGGTGACGTCAGCCTCTGATCCTGGGGCTTTGGGTGCAGATTAAAGGGAGACAGGCAGGCAGAGCTGCAGTTTAAAAGGGGCAATGGCCTAGTTTTTTTCCCCTTTTATTTATTCCCTCCCAGGCTGTAAACTCTTAAAAGGGAAATGCACTGTCTTACCATCTGCTGAAGGAGATGGGAGAACTGTGCAGGCTGGAGCGCTGGGCAACGGTGTAAAGCAAGCTACTCATGCTAAATGAATTTGGCATGTATTGTGGGAGGGGAAGGGTGTGCAGGTTTGTTTCTTCGGCACACAGATATGCCCTGCTGTGCAGGAGAGGAACTGGGACACATTTTCCACTAAAGCCAAAGGGAGGGGACAGCATGTTTTATGAAATACAGCATGCAGCAGCCTTACATTTTCAAATCTGATTTCATTTTAGAAGGATGTACTTAATGTCCTCCTATAGGATTTTACCTGAAACAGATCCTGTCACCTCCAGAGCATGCAAGGAGTGACCTACAGCTGCTTGCTCAGTTTATGGCTGTCTGGGAGGAAAGAGGAAAGTACATTTCATTTATAAACCCTTAAAATAGCAAGGGACCGTGGAGCAAGAAGACACCCAAATCCACGCTTTGGGGATGGAATATGATTCAGGAGCTGAAATTATCCATCTCTTTCTGTGGCAGAATTCCAAGCTTCTACCTCCTGGAGCTCCTCTGAAACACAAAGACCTGATCATTGGTTTTTTTTTAAAGCTCCTCTTACAATCTTCTATACTTCCCTTTGGGTGGGGCTGTTTTTCTTCTTAGTATTTATTTGTATTGCCCACTAAAGTGATCGGCCACAGGCAGCAGGGAGCTATAAGAGTTCATTCCTTGGGTGTTGCTGCTGTAACACTAGCGGGCCTGCTGGAGCAGGGACTCCCTTCAGCTGAGGTATCCTGCTCTCTGACTGGCCACTGCTGGCATGTTGGGAAGTGTTAAAAAGACAAGAGGACAATTGAGCGATTGCTTCTCCTATATCCCCTCCTTTAAAGAGCTTCTGTCCTGCACACCTCACAGCCTGATACAAGCCCTCTGAAGTCAGTCACTGACCCTTTGGATCAGACCCCTCAGCCAGCTTCCTATAAAACAGGGAAATGGGGAAATCAGCCTTTCTTTGCTGCTAGACTACTTCACCCTCCCAAGCTATTGCTGGACTCTCTGCTTTAGTTACTCCCAGCCGCAGGAAGCTGAGGCCTGTTAGGCCAGAGAGGTTTGTTCACTCTTGCCTCAACTCCTTGCTCTAGAGCATTGTCTGTGCCTCTGAATTACTTTCTGTAAACAGTAAACACGCCACACAGGAGCCATGAAACAAGCATCTGATGGGAACAGAATCTGGGGCCTGTTGTGATTTGATTTCCTCACTTTAGAGGGGTGGGGGAAAGAGAACATGAAGGCAAGACTGGGAGAGAGATGAGATTTAAGATATCCATTTCTCAGGTCCACTGTAAGGGCTCACCAAACCCAAATGCCACCCTTCAGAGTCAGCACATGTTTGGGCCCCTTGAAGAGCTGACACTTTCAGGTGATGTTGCAGTTGGGGTGTCATGCTGTGTGATGGAACGCCGCACCTCTGTGCCATCCCAGGGGCACACAATCGCCAGCCAGCCAGGAGAACTGCAAAAATAGCAGTCATTTCCTTTGCGACATTGGATGTGGCCAGACAGCCTCCAGTTTAAAGAGGGATTAAACTTTAAAAGCAAAGGTTTTGCTAATACTTACAAAATCAAGGAAAGGCTCCCTCCCCTTTCCTGCCTTCTTAGGAAGACAGAGAAGGATATATGTATTTTAAAATTAACTCTTTCCTCTCCAAACATGTACAGATGAGCTGGCCACATCAGGATTTCAAATTATTAGATTTATTTAGATTGCAAGGTTGGAGAGGCAGCTTTGTTTATATATTTGTATAGTACCAAGCAGTCCTAGCCATTAGGGGCTACCATGATGCAAAGCACTACCACTACTACCATCTGGGAAGGACTGAGATCCCCCCAAGTTACCCTTTACAGCCACCAGAAATTGATCACGGGAGATAACTCAGGCATCCGGGCAGAGCAACCATCACTGGGAGTAATAGGGACAAAGTTATTAAGGGAAGTTCATTTTTATGTGCACTCAAAATGTATAACTGTGCCAATTACAGCCTTGGATTAAACCAAGGATTGGCCTGAATTACAACCATCAATGGCCAGACCACTGTAGTCACATTGCTGATATAAACCCCAAACACAATTAAGCAGAGCTGCTGTTTGCACCAGGTGCAAATCATAGCTTATGACAGTTCTGACTGCACTAGAAGTTTGCCCCAGCTTGATTATACTGGTAACCAACATCCTCAGCACAGCCAATGCCTGAATTTCTATATTATTTTCTTCCCTTTGGCCTCATTTCAGCCTTGTAGTACATTCCTTCAGCAAAGTTATGGGTCTTAATTTTGGAGTGCCTTGCAATTGTGACGGCAGCCCTTTATACCTGGTCAAAGTGCAGGAGGTGCACTGTGGGTCAAACATTTCAAACAAAAAATTGACTTCTTGCACATGAAAATTCATAGGTTTTTAGACTGTCCTCAGAAAATGCAAAGCCAAGGAGTTTTTCATAAATAGCTTGGATTTCATACCTCCCCTTCCATAAACTTTTTTTCTCTCTCTCTTACTTTGCCCCCCGCCAGTGGTTAAAATCATACAAATCAGGTGGAGGAAGGAAGAACAATCTGAAAATGTTTGAAATCCAAGATGTTACATATAAAATTGTGAAAAAAATAGAGGAAAAGTCATTGCCTTTTGAAATCTGATGATGATTATTTCAAAAATTTATAGAAAAAAAATTAAATATGATTTCCATGCAGTTCTATCAAGATGCGATCCAAGTCAGAATTCTCCACACAGCTGGCTCATCCTGACAAGCATTCTGTTCTGAAACAGAGCAACATGAGCTGGAGAGGAGGATGCCACTGCACACCCTACTTGCAGTGGTAGGAGACTTCTGGTCAGAGTAGAAGGAACAGGTAGATAGCAATAAAAGTCCAATGAGGCAAAGGATCCTAGATCAGTGGTTTGCAATAGAGATGTCATAGTGTAGTCAAAACCCGATTAACCAGTAAGCCTGGGCTTATTGGTTAATCTTAATGACTACACACATCTCCTCCATGCCTTGCTACCTTTGTGTCAGGGTGGGGAGAGGTGCAGGCAGAAGCCGGTACACACTGGAAGCCAGCTTTCAAGCCAGCTCCCCACATGTATCAACTCATGCAAGCTGCTTTCCTCCCCTCCCCGCACTGCTTCCTCTCTATCAGAAGCAGCAGCGTGGGGCGGGAGGAGAGGCAGAGCCCATATATGTGAGGAGCCAGTTTTTAAGCCGGCTCTCCTCGCATGCCGGCTCCATAGAGCCACCTGCCCTCTCCCCTCACCCCCTGCTGCCTCCCACAGAGACAGTGATGGGGGACAGGCAGCAGCATGGAGGGAGGAGGGAAGCAGGGGAGGCTGCCAGTTTAAAAACGAGCTTTTCACCATATTTCCTGCTAAGGTTCGCGCCTGGGCAACCACACAAAAAATCCCCTTCCCCCCTCCAGGAAAGCTGCGCAGCAGCACTTGTGCAGCAGACAGCTGCTCCAGCAGGCAGGGCCAGCTGAGACAGCACAGTGAGGGAGCCTCTGAGGTGGGGCTCTGGGACATGCCACAGCTGTGTGGCGGGGAGGAGGGGACTACTCTTGTGACTGGCACTGCCGCATGGCAGGGGTGGCAGGGCCTGTTCTCATGGCAGGGGCTGGGAACAAGACCTGCCGCATGGCCAGGGGGGACTACTCCAACGGCCGGGAATGGGACATGCTGCATGGTGGGAGGGGCAGGGTGTCTACTCCAGAGGCTCAGAACAGGACATGCCACATGGCCAGGAGGTCTGCTCCGGCGGCTGGGAACAGGACATGCTGCATGGCAGGGGAGGGGGGCAGTTTCTGCTCCAGCAGCCAGGAATGTGTGTGTTAATAAATTGGGTGCCATAGTGGCACACATCGAAACCAGCGCACATGACCTCAATATTGGTGCAGAAACCACAATTCACTACACTCATGCTTGGAAAATCTTAGAGGGAACGCTGCTCCCCACGCAGACTGGCCCCCGCCTGCCACTCTGCACTGCAGTGGGGCAGGAGTGCACTGCCCATGTTCCCTGGCCACGTCCCCAGGGCCTATCGAATAATTGTGTAACCAATAATATTTAATGTGCTTACAGGACTATTCAATTCATCACTATCTAATTTCCCTAGTTTTCAAACTTTTTTTCTTATGACCCACTTGAAGAAAATTAGAATCAGAACCATAGAGCTGGAAGAGACCTCAGGAGGTCAAGTCCAGCCCCCTGCCCACGGCAGGACCAACCCCAAATTGTTGATGACTGTGACCCAACATACTTTGAGTAGAGTGCTGGTTCTGAGGGTGGGGCTGAGGATGAGAGCTTTGGGGTGTAGCAGAAAGTTCGGCTGTGTGGAAGGGAGTCAGGGCTGGGGCAAGAGGGGTTTACCAGACCGTCTCCCGGGCAGCAGCGCAGTGAGGATGCTACAGCAGTTTCCTGCTTCTCCTGGTACCACAGATCATGCTGCGACTCAGAAGCAGCCAGCAGAAGGTTCCCAGCCAATGGGAGTACAAAGCAAGTGCTCAACGCAAGGCGCACTGTTGTACTCTCTCCAACTCCTCCCCCCGATCCAGGCCTGCTGTGCAGTCTGCCATGCAGGTAGCCTGCCTTCGCACCCTCACTGATCACCTGATCCCCCTGCAGCAACAAGACCAAGTACCCAATATTCCATGACCCAGTACTGGGTCATGACCCATAGTTTGAGAACTACTGTCCTAGGGGATTGTGGGAAGGCATTGCAGGGCTATTGGCCCTCTGTTGAGGTGCTGTCTTGCAGC